CTAAAAGTAAGGCACAATATCTTCAAAGTTTCAGACCTCTTTTGAAGCATTTTTAAAAGCACATCTATTTCAGCTGGCATAATGGCCCATACCTATAATTCCAGTGCTCTGGGAGGCTGAGGCAGGAGGATTGCAAGTTTGAACCCAACTGTGCAATTTAGTCTCAAAATAAAAAATAGAACTGGGGTGGAAGGCCTCAGGTTCAATCTCCAGTATTATAAAACCCAACCCAACTGAACCCATCCCAACCCTGTGTTCCTATTCCTAAGGTATAAGATCCTTGAGGACATGGCCTAAATCTCTTTATCTTCTATGGGGCAAGTACCTGCAGAATGCTGTAGGCACTCAGTATTTGCTTTTAACTATTTAGTGTTTAAAATATAGATCAAAAATTTCCTTCCTTATTAGCCAGTAAGAAGCCCTGTTAAAACAGTTTACATTTGCTGCCCTCTGAGCAGAGTATAAATCAAATGTACACATTGTCACACCCAGGAGCTCAAGAAAAGTCCAGGAAAAAAGCTGGGTGGAAGTTTCTTATGTTTAAAAGTTTGATAGGTATAAGATATGACTTAACTGTTCTCTTTAAATTTGCATTTTATGTTCTTTAAATAAAAATATTTTATGCCTTCACAGAATTGTGGAGTGCTAGAAATCTGATTTTAGGTGTTATAAATTTTTTACATGTTAAAGATACTCCAAACAAAATCTAAGCAACCAAATGCATTACACAGTTAAAAGGTACATAATTTGGGGGAATTATTTATGGAACTCTTCTTTTTCATGATTAATCTATAGTTAACTAAGTAGTTTACATATTAACTGTAATAATGTGGCTGAATTTATTTAATAACTTTTAGATTTTGTGTCTTCCCAAAGAATTGCCTATTAAGACAAATGAATAATTTGTAAGCTTTTAGGTAACTTTTAAAGGTAATACTTTTCACACTGTAGTTTTAAATTTGTAATTAACCTATTTTTCTCCAAGGTAGTTTTTGTTTATTTACTTTTTTGCATTTTTTAATAGAAACAATGTTTGTTGGCAGTATATGTTTTAATGAATATATTTTAATTGTGTTTTAATCCTTTTGTGTTCTGTTTTCAGTTTATGGTTAGTAATACATAGAGAAAGAAGGAAGAATGTTCTTGAAAGTGAAAAATAGTTTTTAGATTTCTTCAGGTTCTAGTTCTTCTGATTTTTCTCTTTTTTCAGGTGACCGTGGAAAATTTTTTACGGGTATTAACTGGGAGGATCCCACCTAGTACTCCTAGGTCAAAACGTCTTCTTTCTGATGATAGAAGCAATATTCTTATTTATATGACAGGTAATTTCAGAATTTAGAGATGTAGTTACATACACTGAAACTCTTTTTGGAAAGAAATTCCATGGAAAGAAATTCTATGCACATTATATACATTTTTGATTAAAATAGTCTATTTGTCATATAATTCTGTATTCTTATGATATAGAATGACTTCATATTTGAAAATGGTGCAGATTGAGCATTCCTAAACTGTAAAATCTAAAACCTGAAATGTTCCAAAATCTGAAATGTTTTGAACACCAACATTTTTTGTCATAAGTGGAAAATTTCACACCTGATGACCTCATGTGACAGTTACTAGTCAGAATGCAGGCAGATTAAAAATACTGTGTACAGTTATATTTGGGTGTGTGTATGAGGTGTATATGAAATATAAACGGTGTGTTTTGACTAGGTCCCATCCCCCTGATACCTCTTTAAGTAGAAACAAATATTCCAAAATCTGCAAAAGTCTTAAATCCAAGATTTTTGGCCCCAGGCATTTTGGGTAAGGAATACCCAGCCTTGTAATATTTTGTGTTATTGCCTGTTGCTTTTTGCTGCTGCCTTGGTGATATTTATTACCTTTTATCCAGTGTCCTGCTGTAGCATCTGTCTTCAGTTTTGTTCTCCTGTTAGTCATCTGACAAAGTGTTTAATAGAAATTGCAAATCTGTCCTTCTACTTAAAACTTAGTAATGATTTCCTTTTGATTGAGTCTCAAATTTCTGTGTGCATAAGGATTAATTGATTGTAAATATTTAAACCTTGCCCTGAAATTCTTAACTCAGATGTGGTCTTGGGTGGGGTGCATAGAAATTATATTGTAAACATACTCCCCAGATGTGGGATGTAGTAGTTTTTTCATCAAGTGCCTCATAATATAACTTAGTTATGTATTATTCATAGTACATAAGTTACAATTTAGTTATAGTATTATGTATTTAGTTTCAGTCTGAGTTCTTACACTTTTTCCTATTGCAAGCACTTGACTGTTCTATCCTCCCAACATTTGTTTAAACCTCTGCTTCTGTTTGTGATACCCGTTTAATCTGCTTTGCCCACCTGATCACCCCGTATCTTTTTGGAGCTACCTCAGAATCAGTTCCTTCCGTGATTTCCCGTAGAAGTCTAAGGTGACCTATGTCTCCAGTTACCTGGTTTACCTCTGTTGTCTCAGGATAATTAATTATTAACGACTCCTCCTTTCTTCCTGAGAAGTGTCCTGGTGTGAATTACACATTTTATAATTGCCCTCCCAAAGACACTTCTAATCTCGGCTGGTTGCATGTTCATATTAATTCTTTGTTTCCTACGTATCATTTAACTTGAATTACTTTCTTGCTTGGGTAGCTGTTGTCTGCACTATATTTTGAATTCCAAGGTATCATCAGTTGTTTTTCATTTTTTATTACAAGGACCTGTCTATTTATACAATTATGAATATTGATCAAAAGACGATCAAATTTTTCAGGGGGCTTTCCATTGATCATTTTTAGATGTCACATGGCAGGACAGTTAATAACCCCTACATAGTGGTATTTCTTCATCATATTATACTTTTTACTCTCTGTAAATTTTATAAATTAACTCAATAGACTTATAAAGTCAGAAAAATTTTTATTTTATCTTATCTGAAAATTTTAAGAAAATTTCTTGCTTTCTGGCAAAGAAAATGAAGTACACTTTGTAGCTCAGCTTAAGTTGATGTATTACACTAAAGGATTTACTCATTTCTTTTCCTGATTCTCTTGGTACTCTTTCAAAATAACTTCAAGCTTACTATACATCATTGCAATAGCCTAAATTGTTGTGTATATTA